TTTTTTTTTCACTGCTTGAATGGACAGCTCACATGCCCTTCAAACCATTATGACCATTCAGTGCTTCAAACCATTATGTCAAGTCAGTTGGAAAATATCCACTACCTAGCCAATTACAGCCCAAAGGAAGAGTCGGCAGGCAGGTCTATTAGGCATTTAATTCCGCATGGTAGTAGAATTACAATAACAGTTTTAACAAATACAGTTCTGCGTACATGACATGGAACTGAAACCTATTTAGACACTGGAATTTTACAAATCTTGAAAAAATATTAGATTTACAGCAGTGTTTTAACAGTTGTAGTTCTGGAAGACAAAATTTAAAGCTGTGTCTACATATGGATTTTGAACAAAACTTGGAATTATGATATTAGGTTCACAGTTATTAAAATGCATTACTGCTATTACAAAATTGATGTGTATAGTCAGCCCTTGAAAGTTGTAACAACTCATCAGAGTTATCATTTATGTATTTAACTATCTGTATCACTCTATTTAGAGCGCTTTTAGATTGCTTGGGAGCAAATGGTACCATTTTCATTGACACGTATTTGTCAATGATTTTTGATGAACATAACCTTGTCCTCATTCAAGCTCTTTGACAAGCTTGACATTCAAGCTCTTTGATTTCCACACACATATATATATATATATATATATGAACTACACCTTTTTGCACATTCTTCTGGATCTTGATATGACTGAAAATGCCTTCTGAGTGCTTGAATTTTTTTGTTGATTGTCTGCTAGGAACATGTTCCACCAGCTGCATTGAGGTATGGTTTCAGCTCACTTATAGTCATCCTTGATAGTATTTATAAATTTCTTAGTGGCACTATCCACTGTTCAAGATGTTTTATGAAATACGAAATATATTTTTTATTATTATTAATTTTAATGTATAGTTTACAATATTTGGTACTTTCCGATTATCCACACTGCCCCGCTAAAAGGCTGTTAATTTGCTGCCAACTTTGCAGAGAATTCTTAAACTTCGGCCACATTTCAATTCAGAACAATTCACATGCAGTGCAACATAAACTAATAGTCATCATCTGTCTGCTGTGTGCAAGCACATACTCGGGCTATCAAATAAAAACATTTTACTAACATCTTAGATTGCCTATTTTGGCAATATAGAAAACTGCCTTAGGAATATTTTTCAGGAGGGTGCAGATAACCAGAAAAATTCTACTTTATTTCTTATGTCATTTATTAATTGGTAGTAATAATTAGTTTATGTCTTTAATTTTAAAATCCTGTATTATATATATGTAATGTTTTCAGTTATTCCAACACATCGTGGGTGAATGGTGAGGGCTAATTCCATTACACGTTCTTGGCAGATGGTTGACAAAGCTGAGATGATTGAAGCCACAGAGAAAAATGACGGCTCAGGACTTTTCCACTTTTAACAGCAAGCATATCTTTATTTTAATTTTAGAACAGAATGACTTTTCTACAGATGAAGTTAACTCAAATAACTTAGTTCAGTAATTGAACTATTAGATACGACTTGACTTTAATACGTTATAATACGTCATAACATTCTAACAAAGAAAGAGGAGCATAGCAGGAAGTGCGTTAACAGAACGAAGGCGAGAAGGCATCTGTGTAGGAGAACTTATGACGCAGCATTTATATGAAAGGTTATGTAACAGAGTAGCTTCTAGAAAAATGTAGAAAAACTTATGACGCAGCATTTTATATGAGGAGGTTATGTAATAGGTGCGAATGTTCTAGAAGGTACTGGGTTAGGGGACGATCCTGAATTGCAGAAAATTAATTAAAGGTTGCTGGTTCGCAAAGAGCAAAGCCATCGTATTTTTTAAATATTTTACATATTATATATATATGGCTGATCTTTGGAATATGGTAACTGGTAGTTTGGCAACATTTTGGAGGCGATAAAGGACTACCTAGGACTTTGGTTATAATGTGAGAAGTACTCAGTTCCGATTACGCATTATTTTGTGTGAGGGAAATGAGAGATCATGAGATATGTCATGTGACATTAATGGACGAATTACAGTTCTTTAATCGGAAAAGGGGGGGGAATCGGGAAAAAATCTGGAAATTTTGTATTTAGCTTTATTCTGTGTTGTGTGAAACAGTGTTCGTTAATTTTTGGATCCCATGGCCCTAACTAAAGTGAATTCGAAATGGGTATTTAGTGGGATTGAAAGGGGTAGTAATAAGTGTTTTTTTAAGGTTGTGCGAGATAGAAGTAAAGATGTTTTATTAAGTTATTTATTTTACCTGGTACCTTGCTGTGAACTATAAGTATGATTTTAAAGATCCTGAAACAGGCGCACGTACGCTTGCTTTTTATTTAGTGGAGGAAATAAGAAAAGTTTATCGGACACATAATCAAGATTCTGAAGAAGATTAGGTAAGTTAGTATTTTGAATTATTTGAGGATATTATTTTTATGCACTTTTCTAAATGTAAGGAGTAAATAAAATAATATGGATTATTGGAAAATTGTTATTAGCAATGATTTTTATATTTTAAAGTAGTGTTTTTGAATTAATTATATTTAATTCAATGATAGTTATTTTGTGAATTACATGTTTGTAGGAATTTGGTATACGTTTCAGTGGAAGTAAACGTGCATGGAAATAATTTAAATATTTGACACTAAGTATTTGTAACCATTTGTAATGTTTGAGGTATGAATTCGTTGGTGACGTTTATAATATAATAGATAATTTAGAGGTAAAAGTTTTTGGATATTTTATTTATTTATAGGTGTGAAATGTCATCTTTGGAAAGGGTATATACTTTCTCGCGATTAGGTAATTTCATATATGTTCTTTTTACCGGATTTAAAGATTCACAAAATTTTCATGCATTTTCGTGAAATTTTTCAAATTTATGAGAAAAAAGCAGTGTACATGGATATAGTGAAGAGTGTGTGCAATGCCATTTTTGTGCAATTCTGGGATGTTTTTTTAAGTAAAAATAAGTCGACGTGTACATGGTTTAGTGATATTTTAATTAAATGATAGTTATTTTGTGAATTTTATGTTTGTAGGAATTTGGTATACGTTTCAGTTGAAGTAAACGTGCATGGAAATAATTTAAATATTTGACACTAAGTATTTGTAACCATTTGTAATGTTTGAGGTATGAATTCGTTGGTAATGTTTATAATATAATAGATAATTTAGAGGTAAAAGTTTTTGGATATTTTATTTATTTTATACGTGGAAATGTTCATTCTTGGAAAGGGTATATACTTTTTCGCGATCAGGTAATTTCATATATGTGCTTTTTACCGAGTTGAAAGATTCACAGAATTTTTTTGCATTTTCGTGCAAATTTTTGTAATTTATGAGAAAATAGCAGTGTAGATGGATAAAGTTAAGAGTGTGTGCAATGCCTATTTTGTGCAATTCTGGGATGTTTTTTTAAGCAAAAATAAGTCGACGTGTAAATGGTTTATGTGTATGTGCTATTGTGAAAAACGTGCAAGGAGTTTGCGATTGTGCACTTTTTCCCAATTTTGCAGTTAATATTTGTCATGATTAAGCAGTTTTGTTACATAAAATTTCTAGCATAAGTGTAATTCGGCTAGTAGATTGTTGGAAAAAGCGTTCAGTAAATAAAAAGAAAAGAAACATGTCTTTACTTCGTGAAGACAAAATGGCGGCGAAAAAAAAAATAGAGGGTTCCTGTAGCAGAGTTGGTCGCCAAATTTTCGCCAAAAAATCGCCAAGTTACCATAATCCAAAGATCAACCATATATATATATTGGGTCATCTGGAAAATTCTGTGGCTTTCCAAATCAATTATTATTGGTGGTATTGCTAAAAATCAATGTTATACAATTCAGATATTATCAGAAAAATTAAACATTCCATAAGTTCAGTACATGATCATTTGAAGAAGACTCAGTGTGTAACCTACTACAATGTATGTGTATATCTCACACTTTAACAGAGAAAAATATGCTTGCTCAAGTTTTGGCAGGTAATTCTTTGCTGAAAAGAAATAGAGAAGCTTGTTTTTTAATGGCTCATTACTGCAGATAACAAACAATAATGATACATAAAATCATTTCATGGGATAAGCCAAAAGAGACTCTTTTACTAACACATAGAGGCTGGCTGCATCTAAAAAAAGTAATGTGTTGTGTATAGTAGGAATTGTATACTATGATTATCACCACTAAATCATGCAATTCAGAAAAATACTGTTCTCAAACGGCAGTTTCAAAAGCAGAAATTTAAACAAAGTGTTGAAACAAAATAACCTTCAAGATGTATTCAAGATGATGCTTATTATGACAAGAGTTATCCTCACATGTGTCAATGAATGTCAGACAAACCCTTATTGAACATAACTGGAATGTTCTGTGTTAAACCTCCCCTCATATTTACTACACCTTGTCTTCTTATTCTGAAGAGTTTCATCTCTTCAAGTCAACTAAAATTTTCTGAACTGTGATTTCATTTTGAACACCTCGCATTCTCTTTTTGGCTTATGTGCTGTAAATTAAATTGTCACCTACTGCTTCTTCTTTCTTCAAACATATTTAAAATATCTAAAAAGTATCAGCAGAGTAATTCCAGAACAGATGCACTTACTATTCCAACTTATCCGTGTCATCCTCCAAAATGTTTGTCTACAACTAAAGCATTCTTCTATTCCAAAGTAAACAAATGTTAAATTAATCGTGAGTGCAACTACTTATGTATCTACATGTTAGTAACATCCAAATTATTTCATATATGTATATGCATACTCCCTGTAAAATTCCTACTCCTTATATACAGTGTGTTAAGTATACATCTATATTCATGCACAAAATGACAAAAAAAAAATGTTTTTTAATTGAACTAATAAACTATAAGATAAAAAATAAAAGCTTTTTAAATATTAATGAAATTATTTTTAAATATTAATTATTATTAATTATTTTTAAATATTAATGAATTTTTAATATTAATGAAATTATTTATTTTTAAATATTAATGAAGCAGTCTGGCACTCACCTTCTTTGATCCACTTGAAAACCTTGGAATACTTGAAAATTGTAACTGTAAAATAAAACCATTAAAAGTCTTAGGCTTATTTAATATGGATAAAATACTTATACTGAAGATATGAAAAAACTACTTTTAGATACCATGTTATGCTTCTGTATAGAAAACAAGGTGCTTTATTTGCTCGCAAATCTGGCAATTGCATTTTATTATGTTTTTAGGTATATTATGTTTAATATATAACGTCAAAAAAATAAAATACGAAGCAACACCACACGGTAAAATCTCACATACTATTTGTCAGAATTTATTTGAAGCAAGAAGCAAATGGGAGAAATTAATTTGATTCCATTTTAGACAGGGCTATGAAGTCCATAGGGAAAATGACCGACTCCAACTCCAACAACTGAAATTTTAGACTCCCTCATATATATATGTAAACATATACACATGTACTATTTTTTTAATATAAAAGAAGTAATAGATGCTACAGAAAACAATTGATGGCATAGCAAATTATTTATATTAATTAGCATTTATTATGAAATGGAAAACTGACATTGGTTATTTCTAAGAAACGGTATAAACTTCGGCAAGATTTTTGTTGGCAGGCCATAGATCCGATTTGTTCTAAAAGTTATAAAAGATGTGTCTTGCAAGTGCAATCATATTTCTCTAGTTCTTCAAGTATAGAAATCGTGTTTGTATTTTTTTCAGTTTTATATCTAAAGGTTCATGGTTCTTTATTCTCATTCGCTTTGCCTTAGCCTTTTCAATATTATCCAAAAATATTTCTCAAAATCCAATTCATCACTGGAAGAGTATGATAGAGACTCAATTGCAAAGTCTGAAGCACGACTGTCTTGATTTGAATTCTCCAGCTGTTCTGAGAATAATTTCATTCTTAATGAAAATTCATAGATGGCTTTCTTTGCATTTTTAATTTCTTCGTCATCCAAGAAATTTCGTTGTTTCGGATCTACATACATTGAACCCAGCAAGATCTCATTGTCTAGCAAACTAGTTTTTCTTTTCTTCATTGAAGAAATGATTCCTTCTGCAATTAACCCTCCGTTTCAGAAAGAACAAACATCACATTCTTCCATTCTCCCCTCCTGTCAATTCTTTAGACTGCAGCTTTTTTGTGTCTATATACGGTGTAGAAAAAAGAGTTTCTAATTCTGAAAGATCATTCTACAGTCTTTCTGTTAATGAAACATTAGGGTTATCTAAATCTTCTAAAAAAATTCTTAATTCTAAAAACCTCTTTATGATCAAATACGTACTTCTTTATCGCATTGCTTGATCAATAATTGCTCCTTTTACTGGTCGCTTCTTAAGAATGGTATCAATTTTGGGAGTTTGTGCTACTATTGCTGCTTACTTAAATTTACCAGTGAAATTTGTAACTAAATGAATCAGTTTAATCACTAATGGCAAATATTACATACATCCTCCTCCCTTATATTTATTACTAATATGTAAATAAAATAGAAAATAACTATTTATTAATGTAATAATCAGCTTGTCATTAATTTTTTTCAATTCATTTTCATTTCAAACTGTCCAACAAAAACTGGAGTCGGAGTCGACCTGCGATAATACCAAAGTACCGAAAAGAAAATATATATCAGTAAAATGTTCTTTACTGAATTTTCAATGATTAGAATCATGTTACATAAATGCATATAACTACATCAATTCACATGTTTGTATAGTTTTAGTTTACATATAACTTAAAGATCACTTTTGATTTTTAATTTTCAAAAACAATTTTAAAATCATTTTTACTGCTATTAAATATATGTTATCAAAGTTTAAAATATGGGTTAAATTCTAGTACACATGGCCTTGGAGTGATTTTGAAAACTATCACCAAGATTAAAATGACTCATTTACTGCTCGTCATAAATACTGTGTTTAGTGTTCATCATCATGTCATCAAATTCCGTGTGCATCATATATTAAGATTATACCAAAATATGCACAAGAGTATTTTTTAAATTCAATGAAAATTTTCATATATTATTCTCCTCTTCAACACAATTTCGGATGAGCACAACATTAACAATAACAGCTTACTTTCTTAAAACACACAAACTTGTAAATCTGTAATATAAAGAGCAGAATAAGCAAATTTCAAATATATTACTCTTGTACATAAATAAATCTCTCAAAAACTGCTTTTATAAATATGTAACAGTATAATAAATGAAAATGCACATTTTTCCATAAAAGTATGACACACCAAATTCCATACAAAAATATCATTTTCCTGAAGAATTATAAAAAAAATAGAAAAAGCTGGGTTAATTATGAACAGATAGTTTCACACATGTCAAAAACCAGTTTAAACTTCTGGTCAATTTTGTGGCATATATATGATTACATGGAGACTGAGACCTAATTCTCTATACTTTAATGCTATTCATTATACATTTAAGCCAATTTCGACCAACATAAATATTCAATGCATCAAAATAAATAAATATTTCAATAATTTGCAATGAATGTTATTAGGTATTGCTATTATGTAATGCGGATTTATATAGGTTAGTTAGTAGCATAAGGATCTCAATTTCAGTATCGTGTGCAAAAAAATATATGAATCTTGGAAAATTTTAAAAAATTACCACGGTCATTTAAAAATATAAACATGCCGGGCAGTTTAAATTTTACGGTGACCGCAAGGTCACTCATTGAGGTAAACAAATACTTTGGCTATACGATTTGCTTTAAACGAGTCAAGTATTAAACCGTTATTCTAATTTAAAATATATTACCTTCTGCGTTCTGTATGTATTGGAAATTCGTATAAAATCATTACGAAGAAAATTTCGCACAACCACAGCCATACTTTCGTTGCAAATCTACCTCACTTAACATTCGCTTCGTGTGGCTGCAGGTAACGATCATAACCGCACAAGATATAAACTTGATTTCCTATACACCGGCAAAATGACTTATTGGATGCAAAACAAGAGAGTCGTGCACTTACGTTTTTTAGCACATTCAGTGCCCAAAACGGGGTATTGCGTATGATATGTAATGCCCCCTGGTACATTCGGAATAGCCAAATTTGTAAAGAGTTAAGAATAGAGGATCTTTGTGATTTTTATTGCCGCCTATCTAGGGCATTTTATGATAAACAGGAACTTCTGGACAATCCTGTAGGTTGTTAACTCTTGTTATGATACTAGGGACCCCAATTTCAGTAAACGCCCAAGGGCGATCCTAAATGTTAGTAATGTAAGTAATTTTGTATTTGTGTTATGCAAATTGTTGCTCAGATTCTTTATTGTATATTGTTCTTTTTTCCTCCTGATTGCTTTTTGTTTTTACTAGTGGCACTAAGGCGTCGCACTTCGTATTTTGTTTCTCTTGTGTGTATATGTATTCTTCTGTGAAATAGTTGTTAAAAAATAGTTAATTATGTATGGATTAGTAATTAGGTACTTAAGGCAAAAATATGTTTTAATTATTTAGCACATTCAGTTATATTTCTCATAATTCGAAAATTTATGATGTTATTCGATGAGGGGTAGGGCTATGGCGCCCAGGCACCCTGGTGGTTAAGCAACGCAGTTCAACAATCTAACTAAAAAGGTAATTGCGTTATGGATTATTTGTTCTCATATTTTAAAACAATAAATAAGAAAGCTAGTGGCATAGCTAGAGGAAAGCGGCATATTTTTAGAAATGGGATATTTCACGAGAAACATATTGCTGAGGTTACACATTATAGATATTCGGAGTAGGAAGAAGATTCATGATGTATTGGAATTATAGCATAAATATGAGTATTACTATTTGGACTATAGCAACCTATGGACATCCTATGGACTAGAGCGAAACTAGTTAGAGTTACTTTCACTAAAGGAAGAATGTCTTCGCCAAGGTAGACAGTAACCCTTAGTGTGCTATTCCATAATTAACAAAACCGAAACAGACCTTGTCCGAGAACTAAAGCTCTTTAAGAAAATGTTAAAAATCTGGGCAGCTATGCCAGTCTTTGAAATCTAAGAATTCTGGAGAGGTGATGAACATTCCTCATTTCTCCACATCATTTTGATACCAAAAAAAAAAAAAAAAATGTTTCTCAAGAAGAGGAACCTCTATTTTAAAGGATTCGAAAATAACTATGGATTTAATATGAAAAAAACACTTTAATTGCTGATATTTACAAAATTTAGAAACAGTTATTCTTACCAAAACGATAGAGCTTATTTTTAAAACATAAAACCTAAACAGAGTTGAGTTGTAGATGGTATTACTCAAACAACCTCCCACCTTGCAATTTGTAGGATACCTATAAATTGCAACAAAAGTTATAAATCAAATCTATTGGGAATTTTAACCCGTCGACCAGCTCTAGTAACAAAATCTGGGACTTTGGGTGATGAATCATCATCTTCACTGGAATCTGAATCATTACCTACAGGGCGTAGAGGCATATTCGTAGAGCACTTTCATCCCTTCGAGCATCTTTGGCAATTACTGGTAACTTTTCCGAACTGTTGATTTCTAACGGATAAAGTCTTTGGAATGGTCTCAACTTCTCTCCATCAGCTGTTCTCACTCTGGCAACTCTTGAGTGCCCATCTGCTCCAGAAAAGACTTCAATGACGATTCCTAAAGGCCAGTTGATACGCTTGCCATCAGTTTCTGAAAGAACGACCTCCCCAACTTTAAAGATTCTTCCCGGCTCTTAACTTTATGAATCAACATTGCTAAATACTCATTCCGAAACCTTATTCTTAAATCCTGCCTTAATTTTTGCACAAAACGCAATCTTGGGGTCTAGTCTGGATACCGGTCGAGATCGATATCGGAAAACCAGTGGGGATTCTCTTTCCACTCGACAGCAGAAGGGAGAGCGAGTCTGGCCCCTTCAAATTCCGTCGGCGGAAAGTGAGGTGGAAATTCCGTGCGGAAGTGACGTTTATTGCATAGCAACCAGTCTATCTCACCTCTACATTGCTCCAAGCTCAGGGAAAGGGGGTAGTTTGTTGTCAGTGGGGTTGTTCCGCACGTGCTTATTACTGAGGATGGCGGTAGAAAAAAAATCGAGTTCGAGTAAATGGTGAAATTTTTTGAAAAATACTCTGCTGGATTTAGTAAAGAGTATGGAAAAAAGAAATGGGGAACGTCAATGGATATTTTAAACGCAGAAGGGAACTGGCCTTTCAAAACTTCAGATATGTGAAGAAAAGTAAACATAATTTTACATATGATCTTTTGCAAAATGGAAATTTTCTAAAAGGTTACACGTTTGTAAACTATTTGTTGACAGGAATTTTATAATTAACCCACCGGGCGGCTCGTATTCAAATCTATTTACGTCTCGAAAACTGCAGTAAAAATTAACCATGTTTACAATTTTTTTTTTCATTTAGAGTTAACCAAAATTGTCCTGAAAACGGCCTTTGTTAGATTTTCTTCCCCCCTCCTTGTAGGGCTATCAACAAGTCGTTTCACTTAAGTGATGGTTTCCTACTGTCCTTTGATTACCGCCTAGAGGCGATTAAGCAGATGGGCTGCTTTTGCCCTTACGGAGGAAGGAACACGTTTTGTGTCCATGCTTTGGTTAGACGAAAAAAGATATTTTTTTTTTTTTCTGGAAATCCAAAACAGAAAAGGGAAGTTTTCTATTGCCTTGTTACTAATTTTGTGCATATTTCTAATCTTAATTGCTTATCAGAGCCGTGCCAAGATATTTTTTCACCTGAGGCAGAAAGGTCAATGCGCGTCCATATAAATATAAAAATAGCTACACTTTGTATTAAGCAAAAGTAATTGTATTAAATCAAAATGTCATAACTCTTATAGCATAATTATACCATAATTCTTAAAGTATTTTTTAATCGTAGTTTTATAAATTCAGAGAAATAATGTAGCCAATTATTTATAATTTTCAAATGAAAACGTTAAAAAATTCGTTTTTTGATAAATAAGAAATAACACTGAAATGCATATTGCATTAATTTCCAGGTTTTCTTGCAATTTTTTTGGTTTTGTTTTATTGATTTAAGTTTGACGAAGCCTATTTCCCCTTTTTCCCCTAATAATTAAAGTAATTTTCGAATTCCGAATTCGTATAGCCAATTTGGCGCCCTCTTCTAGTGATTCACATGAGCCAAGTGCCTCGGCTTTGACCCTTTTCCCGCTTTTTGCTTAAGTATAAATGTTATTGATTTTTATTGCGTTTCGGTATTTTAATGTACGTTTATAGAATGTTAATTTGTTTTTATATGCATATTTCAGTAATATAATCTTACGACTAGTGAGACAGTGTAGTTTAACTAATTTTCTGCTTTTTGATTCATGTTATCGAGCTTTAACGCTAAGAAAAAATTTATAAGAGGCTTAAAATACCTAATTCCTATTGAAAGCTACATGTAATTGATAATTAAATTACTATTAAAATAACAAACACATGCTCAGTGTCAGTCATTTTGACATAATGTTTGTAATTCATTTTACCACAATTTATTTCGTTTATCTTGTTTCATATTTATAAAAGGGGAGTTTACCTTTATCGCATTTATTGGTTGATAGAAGTTATGAAATATTGAATATTTTGAAACAAATTTCAGTCATAATAACCTTATTAAAAATTTTCTACATATAGACAAGATGTCACAGATACCTCTCAGTTTCCGAACTAAATTACATGGTACTGAAATTCGGTGCATTTTCATATGATTATTTTTGACAGAAAGAGTTACCTTACGTAAATCACAAAAGAACATTGTTTTAATTCTTAATTAAATATAGCACTTGTATTAAATTGCTAAAATTCATTGTTAGGAAAATCTCGCTCTAAAAAATTAGACACTTTTACCTTTCAAAGTGGAATTTTTGTGGTTTTCTCTGTGCATAATGTGGGCGCGAGTAAGTTTTTCTTAGAATGTCCTCCACGGAGGCATTCCTCCCTTTAGGCAGATAGCTCTCGCGTGCTTTGAAGGAAAAATAAAGCAAACCAAAACAAAAGCTTCAAAATTGGTGTTTAACATTTTTTTGGGGGGGGTTCAAATACGCAAATTACTTACTTAGAGATCTCAATTCACATTATCAAATGTTATTATTTAAATAAATAAAAGCAAGCTGAGGATTTCCATTTAAATTGTTTGTTTTAAAATAAAAAATAAGAACAGTAAGTTTTGAATAAATCTTGTCAACATCAAGCAGGGACAGGAACATGCCAATGTAAAATTTAATATTAGGCCAAAAAGAAACGCTTTGACGTAGATTTTGGATAAAACTTAATCAAATTCGCAGGTAGTCAGAGACAGGCCTTTCTTCAGTAGAGAGAAAAAAAAATGTTTCTGAAGTATTTGTGTATTTATTACATAAATGTTTTAATGCTTCCATAGCACTGCTAATCGATAAAATTTATTTGATGAAAAGTAGGAAGTTTGCTTTTAAAATTCCGATTTTTCAACCTTTTTCAGTGACATATGTGGCATCGAAAAACACGTCTGGCCAGGAGGCAGATTAATGGCTGAAAAATTCTTAGAATTTAAAGAGGCATCGAACAAGAAAATTTAGTAGATGGCGAAATTCTAAGAATTTGGCACTTGGCAACAAAAATTTATTGGACGGCAAAAGTTTTAGAATGTAGAGAGCTAGAGCAACAGAATTTAGGCAGGGCAAAATATTTTAAATTTATAGAACATCGGTCAGTAGAATTAAGATCCCACAAAGACGCACTGGGAGGCAAAATTGCACTGAGAAACAAATCGACCTGCTTCTCGATTATGCGGATGGACGCAGATTAACTTCCGAAAGCTCAGTGAAGCAAGAGCTATACATAATGCAGCTATTTACGATTTCTGCTATAATAAACTGAAATTTAATATAATAATTTAACACTATATATCAGTTTACGAAAACATGATGATACTTTTGAGAAATTTTCTT